ATTTCACTTAAGCTCAAACGAGAGGTATGGTTAGGGGGGAGGCATTTAGATCACATGCGACAGAACAAAAAAAAATGTTGTGCTCTAAGCTGGTCCTTAAAAATAAAACCAACGCTTAGTCAATTATTGATGGGAAAGAATATACATTACTTAGTGCAAGATGAAATCATGGCGATTGGTGTCTCAAACAAAAGGTACCTTAGGTCATTGAATCCATCCTCCTCCCAAAGCAGGATGAATCTCCATCATCTACGTTCCAGGCTTTGTCCAAATGAACTAATGATTTAGTGAGGGGCTTGAACCACTGAATATGGACATCTGTAGTCTAATAAAAGTCATTCTCAGAAGTTCTGCCTCTTTGCAGCTCATACTTTCTTTGCTTTAAATTACTTCATTTAAATCAATTAACGACCTTATGTCAACCTGTTATCTGTGTCATACAGCATCGATTCAGTTATCCAACAATGATCTAACTTCCATACTGCCACATCCATCCTTATAATCCAGACAATATGCACACCTTCAGAAACCCAGCTCAATCCACACATATTTTCTGACTGCAGTGTCTAACTCCATCAGCATCAAAGTACACATTCAGAGTTTAGAGCCAAGTCATCAACCATGCAAAATTGCCATTAAAATCTATTTTACCTAATTCCGAATTATTATGATTACTTGCATAACTAGTTTAATCCAACTTCCAATATACAAATACTACAGCTACAGGCAGAACAGTATAGAACAGACCTTACATCTTCTATTTATACCAGATGTCTGAATTTGCTAATGAGGATCACTGTCTTGGCTAGTACAATGAGAGCTGAATTGGAGACCTTAGGAACTAAAAGCAAAGCTGTTGCAGCTTGAGCTGAGGAGCCATGGTTATCTGGTTGACACTTCCTGCCTAGTTGCACAGAAAGGGGACCTGTAATTCACTGGAAAGGAGGTGTTGCACTAACACTGGACAAATGGAGAAAAAACACTCTTTTGGAGAAGACCAGTACAAAATTACACTTCAGACATAATAGATTCAGTACCCCGCTCTATCTCCTTCTCCCCATCCCAAGCCCCCATCTTCTTCCAGCTGCTTCCCTGAGGAATGACTGCTCAGTCCTATGGCCTAAGGATTTTTCCTTCAAAGCCACAAACATTTGTCTAAATTGATCAAATGTCTTCTCACCCAATGCCACAACAGAAGAGGGAAAAGAGCAAAACTTAAATTAATGTAGAGCAGCACTTTCCTTCCATTTCTTTGCACACTTTATCCTAGCTATCTTTTAAGCTCAAGTCTTACAACAGACTAGTGCTCATCAAAAGTCTGCACTAACAGATATCAGCAAAGGATCTTTGAACAAGGACCACCCTTATGTGACAGTACCAGAGTGCCCAGCAAATGGATAACACCTAACAGGAAAGGCTATGATGTTGCAAAACTGTGGACTGATGCTTAACTTCACTCACATGGGTTACCACTGCACTCCAAAGGACCACTTATGGGAGTAATTGCACATGCCTAAGCCTTTGTAGGATAAGGACACAAGATCCTAAAATGAGAAAGTTCTGCAGACCACTTACTGAAGAGGACTGCTGTGAGACTGTCCGACTTGGATTATGCCTAGTAGCAGCCAACCTCCTGAATGCCAAATGTCTCTTTCTACATTTCTGTTACAGGACAAAACCTGCAAAACACGCTGACAAATAATACACCGCCTGACATAATACTTGCATGTTGAATTTTTCATGTGCGTTTATAACTGTAATTAGCACTGTGCTGTAATACAGTACCAGGGTGCCAGCACTTCAGGCAAACTTATCATTTTCCGGTATTGCTGCACAGTAATGATAAAACAAACAAACAAAAATATTGAAGAATGGAAGAGGGACATAAATAAAAAAGCACTATCTTTAGATTAGCGCTTCCCATACCAAGAATCCCCTGTGGACGTTTCTCAAAGCTCATGCAGCACTATTTTGCAGAACAGTTCCCAGAATACAGTTTCAAACTATCCCTGACATTCCAGTACTTGTTCTTCATAGCCAAAAATGCACTGCCATAAAAACTCCTCTTTTACAGCCAGCACAGGAAGCTGTATGTTAGATTACACACTCACTCCCTTGTCAAAAAAGGGGGAAAAAAAAAGACATTCCAGGAAATAAAACCCAAAAACACCCAAAAGGCAACTGGCCAGCATACACGGCTGTTCCTCCCCTTTAACTCAGCAACAAAGAGGAAGGAAGGAAAATGAATAGATAAAATAAATGCAAGGAGCAGATTTAATTGAGGCATGTTTACCCCAGAAGAATTTACTTTACCGGGTAAGATCATCTATAATGCTGCACATTGCACACTGACTCTCTAACCATTGTGTTAGTGTTTACAAACACTTTGATCAAAAGAAACAGGGAGTTTCATTGTCCACATTGCACTCATGTCACGCATCCTTTAGCAGTGCAATTCCAAGGAAAAGTCTGCCAGAGGACAACACAGTGTCAGTTATACAAGAGAAGCACAGAAGCAAATATGCAGCAGTCGGGGAAGTCGGCTCAGCTGCAAGTACTCTCCCTGTACCCAGAACAGATTCCAAGTTGGTACTTGGAACAAATAAACTTTAAAGGGGCACTGGACAACAGTGTGGTAGACCAAGTTGGGAGGTGGGGAGGGCACATGTGTGTGTGTGTGTGCATGTGTTGAACCAAGCTGGTGGGGGGAAGGTGTATGCACGTGCATGTGTGCTGCATTCCCAACTGTATTCCATTAGCAGAGAAAGGTAGTTAGCCGTATTAATCTAAAAACAGTCAGAAGCATGTTCCATTGCCAGCCACGGGTTACAAAATATAAAGTAAGCATCTCTCCAGGTCCAGTATAGCTGACTGCAGTGATTGTCAGACACAAATAAATATTATTTTGATATATTACTCCTATTCAAGCAAAGATCTCCAAGGCATTATCTTCATTTAAAGATGGGGAAACTGAAGCAAGTGACGTGCCTTACAGAATCAAAGGGAGAATGAGGAAAAAAACCTAGGTCCCTTCAAATCCTGAAAAAAAAAATCCCAGCCCTATCCTCTACTTCCTAAACTGTGCTACCTTAAAAAAAAAAAAAAAAAAAAAAAAAAAAAAAGGTCCACTGCAGAGCTGTGCTAGATCCCAAAGAATCAGTTGAAAACACATACATTTCTTATATTCATGACAAAAGAAAATTCAAATGGATCACAAAAAGGCATTTAGCTAAGACGGGACATGTCTGTCTGCCACACCAAACAGTCCAGCTGTTGGTTTTAAAAATATGCATTCATCACACTACTCCCCCCCCCAAAAAAGGAAAGAAAAATCCAGACGTGTTCCAAGTAGCTGAGCGCCAGTTTTAGACAACTCAGATGCCTCATTCCCCTGGAAGCAGCAAGGAATGGAGTCATCAACATACAAAAAAAAAAACAAAACTGAAAAAAAAATCCACACAGCATAAAATAATAACCGAAAACCTTTACTATTTAATACTTCCCTTTCCCACTTCTAGTCACAATCACCCATCCAAGACACCTCTACCCTACAACATCACGTCTGCATGAAAGTGACCGCAAATTAACCTCAGCTACTTTTTCTGCTCAAAACTGCTCAGAGAAACTGAGGCAGGATTCCCCACTGTTACCTCTTACCAAAAACTGCCTCTGGAGGAAAGTACCATCACATTCCTGCGTATTATTTGCCGTCACAAAAATCGCAGCGGCTGCTGGAAGTTCCAGCAGAGTTTTCAAAGCCATCCGGGGGCACGCGGCACTTCTTCAAACACTCAGATTTAAGACTATATTACAGGGGCGTGTGCACGTACCCCTGCCAAATGCACCCTTTCACCCTAAACAGAGCACAGGCTTCAAAACACCCAAGGTGAGGCACTTTTCTTCTCCCCTGGCCTCTTTTAATGAGCCTAGCGTGAGGGACCTCTCTCAGGGCAGTGCTTCTCGACCTTTTTTGTAAACCTTGATGGCCGGTCCCAACCCAGCGCCCCTCACTGCCAACCTGCTGCCCCCAGGCTCCAGCTCCCCAGTGTGTGGGGCACAAGGTGGGCATGCACGGGGCAGCGGGGCTGGGTGCGTGGGGCAAGGCAGTGGGTGGGCAGGAGGGCGTGGGGGAGCAAGGTGGCAGATGTGCGATGGGTGTGCGGGGGGCAAGGCAGGTAGGTGGCACGGTGGTGAGCAGGTAGTGGGTGTGCGGATAGCATGCGGGGGGCACGGTG